GATAAATGTAGATCCGCTTTGGCTCCGACGAATGAAACTGAACCTTGTTTTCCTTTATAACATTATTTATAATCAGTCTTATACTTCTTGCCCCATAAACTTTATACCTGATACTACCTAACCACTGCGTCACAAAAACCTGACCCTTCCTACTCCCACATCGAAAACAAGTGCTCGAGCCCAATTCTTTTTAAGCTCTCACTCTCAATTATGGAATAAGTTGCCCTTGAACATACGGTGCACAACAACGAGTGAACAATTTAAAAATGTTCTTAACAAAACACTCACTGTCTCAAAGACCTTACAACTCCTTATTATCAATATACCTGAAACACTAGCTTATGAAAAAGGAATCGACTACTGAAAACCTCAGCAATCACACAAAGACTTTTCTCCTCCATTTCGGTCAAAAATGGAAAATACGTCCACATTACAAACCCAATTCCTAGCAGCAAACCGATTCAGCTTCAAAGATTAAAAACATCGTGGCACATGTAAACTCCTAAAAGTACCATGACCAATTATTCACTTGCACAACTATTACTCACCACGTTTCGCTCAAGTCATTTGACTAAACTTCGTGGCACATGCAAACCAGGTGCCTGTGACCACTTTTTAGATAGAATCGCTATCAGTACACCGATTCAGCTTCAAAGCTGTATCTGTGGAACACATTCNCTTGCACAACTATTACTCACCACGTTTCGCTCAAGTCATTTGACTAAACTTCGTGGTACATGCAAACCAGGTGCCTGTGACCACTTTCTAGATGAATTTGTTGACTCAACCACGTGGCACATGCAAACCAGGTGCCTGTGACCACTTTCTAAACAATCTCGATCAGTACACCGATTCAGCTTCAAAGCTGTATCTGTGGAACACATTCCATCTTCTCTATATCAGTACCGATTCAGCTTCAAAGCTGTATCTGTGGAACACATTCCATCTTGGCTTCGTGAAAGATGTATTATTATTATTATCAATAATTTGCCCATTGACTTGTGACATGCTGTCCCTTCCCTTATCCCTTCTCAGCTGGGTATTACCCCAGACTGTTCAGTAGGACTCTTTTATTTCAGATT